TGGAGTCACATAGGAGCTCCTGCAAACCCTTCCCAAAGCACTGGAACAATGGGGCTTAACATTGTACTACTTTCGGATCAAGCAGAGAGTAAACCTTGGACAACAGTGAGTAAAAGTCATGCAGCTATTCAAAAACCAGCTGCAATGAACTGAAGGTGTCCCAAAGAGAATTAAACCTTAGAGTCAGGACATAAATGCTGCAGCCGTTGCTCCCCGCACACTGATGTGTGTTTATGCATTCTTGTGTGGCCCCAACACCACTGTCAGAGCAGGTGCAAAAGAAAGAATAAACCCCAAACAGCATAGCAGAATAAACCAACCACCCCATAACGAGTGCACAAAGGGGATTTGGTTATGTAAGAATTTATCCTTCCTCTCTCAAAACTGTTGGATGCTCAGAGGCTCATTTCTTTATATTCATCCCCATTCCTGGCCTGTATCCCAACAGCTTCCATGGCAGCCAAATACAGGCTTTTTAATTTTTATCCCTCTCCTGCAGTGACAGGAATTGTTGGAACTTGTGCTGTTTCATACACTTGTCTCCAGTGCTGCAAGGGGAGCCTCTTGCTGCCAGGTTTCCTGCCTCTGTTTCCCCTCTGTTGGGACAGCATGCAGGAGCTGGGGAGCTATAAGCAGCTTAGCTGGGACCCTTAGTGAGCCCTGGCACCATCATGCTTGCCTGCAGAGCTGGAACAGGACAGGAACATATCGCTCTTTGCCCATTAACATGTACCCAGGAGAGCCAGTTGCCCTTCCATGTGGCCCATGTCACAGGCACACGTGGTTTCTACCAGCTGTACACTTGGAAGGGATAATGTTTTCTGTACCATGTTTACCAGTTCACTCTCTCTGCCCTCTCCAGTCCCAGAGAGATGTTTTCCCTGGCAAAGCCCAGCACAGCATCCAGCACTTGGTCTCCCATCTATCCTGCCGATGCCCATCAGAGCAGAAAGTGACTCGAGATCACTGCTGGTAAAACCTGGGGATATCTGGGTGCCCTGTGACCACTGAGCAGAGATGACAGCTCCAGGGTTGACCCATGCTTGATGCTTCTCCTCCCTCCAGGGACATAACAAGCTCTCAGGACAGGGACACCAGCAGTGCAGATACAGCCCCCTATCTCAGCACACACAGATGGGCTGCATTGCCCTGCTGCCCACCTTACCATAGTGCAGGGAAGGGAAATTTTGTGTAAGCACATGCAGATACAGTCAGTGACTCTTGGCTGTTGCTCAGCCTCCCAGCATCAACCTCTGATTCGCCTTCTGGCATACATATTTATGATCTCAATTATCACTGAACAAAACCCCAGGTTGCTGTGAAAATAAATGACTTTTAATCTAAATTGCCCAGTTTACATACTTCACCCACCTCTGCTTAGCACAACAGCTGGTGTTTACCAACTTTTCATTACTATTCCAAGCAACACAAGAAGATATGGGCTGGAGAGGACCAGCCACCTCTGAGATGAGCTCAGGTTTACCTCTGCCTCAGACTTACTGCTCTTCCACATCACTGATGAGCTTCCAGCAGGAGCAGGCTGTGCCAGAGAGCAGCCCCTGCCAAAGGCCAGGGTTGATAGAGATGGATAAATGATGTGACATCCACGGACACCAGCTGTAAAACCTGGGCACTGAGCTCTAAAGGAGCTCTGCACAGCCACAGTGTGGTTTTAGCAGAGGTGGTGCAGCAGCATCAGCTGTGGTTGATTGCTCTGGTTAAAGGAAAGCCCAGGTGTGGGACTTTGAGATGGGTGAAGTGGGTGGTAAGGAAGTAAGGAAGAGTAAGAGTAAGGAAGGACTCTTCATCCAGCCCAACCTCTGTGCAGCACAGACACAGTGAAGATTCGCAGCACTGTTCAGTGAAGGAATGATGAAAGGTGTCTGCTGATAATCATTATTGTATTTCTGCAGGAAAGACTAGTCTCCATGTAAACCCAAATAAGTGTAGCTATTGCTACACTTCTGTTCATGTCTGTATTTATAGTTATCAGCACTTCCTTTTCCCTAACGCCTTGGGAGGCTCGCACTGGAGCTGAGATGATCCAAGAATTATTCTTGTCATGGTATTTCCACTGTACAAGAATGAGCATATGTTAAAGAAATCCAGTCCCTCTTTATTCCAGGCCTTAAATGTCCCCCCTGAAGCATTGAATAAAAATGGAATCAGAGTGCCAGCATTGGCTCTATGGTGGGCTTACACCAGGACTTGTAGTATTGGTGCCTGGACAGTTGCACTGGTGAAAGATTGGAGTGAGATGGGCCAGCACCAGGTCCAGACACCGATACCCAGGTGCAGCAAAGCCAAAGCAATGAGGTTCCTACAGGACCTTTCACTCTTTGGAAGTGCTGGAAATGAAGGTGCTGCTTTGGCAGCTGTGTAAAGGCATGTGCTGCTGCACGTGGTCCACACCAGTCCTATTTCCAGCTTGGCTGGCTGAGGATGGAAGGAAGCAAAACTCCTGGGACAGGGCATGGAGCTGACAGTCACATGTGGCTCAGAAATCAGTCACAAGCCACAGCAAGATAATGATACCTGGAGTAAGAGGAGACTTGATCCTTCCTTTCCCCTATTTCCTCCTCTGTCTGTTTGGGCTGACATAAGTGCTGGTGAAGGAGGGCTGGACAGTGGTGGCCTATCCTAGGCTAAATAGCTCATGTGTCTCTACAGTCCTGCTGTTCTTGGAGCAACATCACAGCTCTGGTCAGGCTCTGTACCCTGCAGCACCTTGATTCATATCCTTTACACGGTCCCTGTGTTCCCTCCCTGCACACGTGGGTGCCCCCTGCTGCATCTAAAAGAGAGCTCCAAGCCCCAGGAATGATGGACAATATCCCTCCACCCAGGAAGGGGTGGAAGATGATAACCCCCAGTCTGGCTGCCCCAGGACCTGACCTCTTCTGGCACAAAGTCCCCAGAGCCCCTGTTTCTCTGCCCACAAAACTGCACTGGTGGCTGGTGGGAGGCTGCATCCTCACCCTCCCTTGGGCACAAGGCCCAGGAGCTGCTACACACAACTGACTGCTCTAAGTTTCACTTTATTTCCAAGTATCATTGCAGAGCTTAATTAGCCCTGGTCACCCTGACCCCTCATCCCCCTGGGGAACATCCCAGCTTTGTCACAGCATGTGGGAGCGGGCAGGCAGACAAGGGAGAGGGGAAATGATGTTTTATGGGATGTTCCCAAGGAGCAAGTCTCTTTTTTTAACTCCAGGCACCACAAATTTGTTTGCTGTGATTCAAAGAGGACACATTTGGTTAAAACTGATGGGCCAGACCTACAGTCCCTGCAAATCACTGTTTGACTTCATGGGGCTTAAGTGATTTAGACCAGCTGAGACACTGACCCTCTGTGTTTAAACAAAGCCCGCTTTTTCTCACTGGTGCTAGGCAGCATGGCCTCAGCTTTGGCTCTGGAAGGGGTATTTTAGCAGGGATGTTCTCTGCATGATTCATCCTCCACTGGACTTCACTTTGGCAAGACCCACAACAGCCACTGGCCACTGGTGTGGGTCTGGGGGCTCTGCCACAGATAGAGGCACAAGCACAGAGCCTGGCCAGTGGTGCAGCACCAGCCTCTACAACCGCTGGTAACAAAAGCATCACTGGGATCCCTGGGCAGCAGCAGTGGTGGCCTTGAGCCTCCACTCCTCACAGGTACCTAAAGGGCACTTCTGAGGACCAGGCAGGCTGGGTACTGCAGTCAAGCTACCATGGGGCTGGGCAGCATCCCTAAGTGAGGTGCTGGGGATGGCACTTCTCAGCCACCTGAACTGAGAACAGGCAGCCCTGTGGAGCGAGGCAGGAAGGTTCTGGGGACTGGTTCTCCTCTGAGCTTGCTGTGTTCCAAATGGGATGAATATTTGCCTTCTCTGTGCTCAGGGCTGAAGCTCCCTAAACGCGCTGCAGGAATGCTTGATAAACAAGCAGTAAGCTATTCATTGCCCCAGTGATGGATGCCTCGCAGGGATTAGAGGGGGAAAATGAAGTCAGCATTTGCAAAGAGCAGTGAGGAAATGAATGTTCTGCATGTAGCATTTCCAAGCAAGGGACCGCGGCAGGGAGGTGGAAGGACTGGGAGCTGGGTCTCCTTGGGAAGCCCCCGCTGGGCCACTGGTTGTCAGAGCAAAGAGATGAGCTGGAAAAACAGCTCATTCTTCACTCTGCACCAGTCAAGACTGAAAACCGAAATCAGCCTTAGCCAGGAAGCAGCACTTGCCCACACGAGGCTGCAAACGTGGGCAGTTATTGCTCTCTGGTGGTGAGATGGGCTATGGAGGAGAGCTGCTGCTGCTCCTGCTGCTTTCAGAAGGCTCCTCCGTGCCTCCTGCTCCTCCCGCTTGCTCCGCAGAGGAGTTTGTGCTTCTCTCCAGCCATGTAGGTCAGGGCACTTGAAGGCAGCTTGCTTGCTGCCTGTAGGCTGCTGGTTCCTCCTGAGGCTGACAATGGCCAATGCAAAGGCTTTGCAGCTGCCTCTCTCACCAGAAGTCCCCCTGTGTCCCATCAGCACCCCTGCCCAGGGACTGAATGTGTGCCACACAGCATCATCAAGTCCAACTGTTAACCCAGCACTAAGTCCACCATTAAACCATGTCCCCAAGCATCACATCTACATGTCTTTCCAGTACCTCCAGGGGTGATGACTGCACCACTTCCCTGGGCAGCCCAGTCCAGCGCTCTTTTGCCATGAAGGACCCACAGTGTGCTCATGCTTTAGATGCTGAAAGCACACATGGGCTGTGGGGCAGAAGAGCCACCACAGCTGCTCCAACATCACTGCTGAGCTGAATGGCAGGGCTGAAGTGAGGGTGGGCTCTGCCTGCCCCCAAGCTGCTGCCCACCTGCATTCAGGGCTTGTCCACAGCCCCTTTCACTTCTCCTTTCCCTAATTCTGCCTCTCACTGCCACAGGCTTTGGTGGTGCTTTGTACCAAAGAGGTCCGTGGCTTTACAGAGGTATGGGTCACAGACCTGTGCAGAGCAGACAGGACAGAGAACAGGTAAGAATAAATAAAGGAGTTGCTATTCAAGTTAAAACACAGTTGGCTTGGGCTGAGCTGCCCCATGGGACCTGAGGTGTGTGTGGCAGCTGGCACATGGCAGCACTTTCTTGTCCCCACCCAGGCAGGCACTCCCACTCCAATTGCCATCTGTTGCTCATCTCCACTGCACTGCAGGTGCCAGCACTGCTGCCCGGTCCCCATCCTGCCCCAGTGCCCAGCCTTGATGTACATCCCTGCTCCTGGAAAATGAGGGCAGGGTTCCAAGCACTTCACCTCTTGTCTGTCATGGACAAGAAGACCAAACACTGTGGCTCCTTAGGACGCGATGTTCTCCAGGGCTGGTTGTCCTGCAGAGCACATGGACCCATGCCAGTGGCACAGCACGATGCTGTGTGACAGGTCACAGTGGAGTCCCCAGGTTGTGGTCAGTCAGACGACGTGGCCACCTTCACTCAGCCACCTGGGCCGGAACGTGGCACAGCCTGCTGTGCCCTCAGGTCCCTGCAGGGCACCAGGGATGTCACCCAGCTTGGTGCGGATGAGGCCCTGCAGCCCCTGGTCTCCCAGCTCGGTTGCAGCGGCGAGGGCCAGGAGGAAGTAGGCTGCTGCATCCTGTTCATCCTAATGGTAAAGGACAGGGCAGGCGTTAGGAAGTGGTTTAATTGAGGGTCACAGGAATAAGGGAGCTGGAGTAGAGCCCAGTGGTTCCAGGCAGAACACGGTGACACCTGACTTCATTGAAATGGGGCTCCATACAGCCACAGCCAAGTGCCAGTGCCTCTTTCCAAATCGTTTTTCCCCCTTCAAAACCTGGCTGTGCCAGCATTGTGTGCATTCATTCTAAAGCTGCACATAGGATGGAGAGTCACAGGATGCAGCTGCCTACATGTGCAGATGTGATATTCTTACCTCTGTCAAGACCAGAGTGCTCAACACAGCATCACGGAAAGGTTTCCTACCTTCAGTTTGTGCAGGGTCATGTTGCCAAGGTGGCAATACACCTTGCAGTAGTACAGGGCCTCTCCAGAACACTGCAGCAAGGGGGGACGCAAGGCAAGGGTCTTTAGGTAGCAATCTTCTGCCATCTCATACATATGCAGGAAATAGTAGACTGTAGCCAGGCGGTGGAATGCAACCAGCTCTTGTAATTGATCTCCTGGAAAAGAGTTCCTGATAGTCTCCCTGCAACAGCTCACCACACATCCCGTGCTGAGCTGCTTGGGGGTGCATTTGCTCAAAAGCCTGAGGCATGGGTATCTTCCTAAGGGGACACTGCATTAGTAGGTGGTTCAGAGAAAACAGAGCCATGGGCAGGGGTGCCGATACCAACACTGGACAGATTGTCCAAGGAGTAAATCATTCAACCAGGGGATTTCTTTGGTGCTGCAAAGGGGCTATTATGAGACTGGCTCCATCTCAGACATTTATGCTGGCGTTTTGCCCATTCAAACTATTTTTGTAATGGGAAAGGATGAGTTTATCAGAAGAGCCAGGGCAGAGAGGAACTGTTCAGTCCTGTGCCTTCACCAGACTTCCCGTGCTCCGGTGTAGCAACAACCCTGCGCTCAGGCAGTCCCAGCACCATAGCAAAGCACTCCCATGTGGTTGTCATGCAGCTTAAAAAGGGAAGCAGCCTTAAAAAGATGTTACCAGTTAGGATAAGAATAGGTCCAGCAGTCTCCTGAGAGCAGGAGATCCCCCTTTCACATGCACAATGTTCCCACGCAGAAGGACAACCCCATCTGCAGGGAACAGCAGTCCCCGTGCCCTGTGCATGTGCATCACTTACCGACCCTGATGCTCAGCCTGGCTGCCAGTGTGGCAAACTCCAGAGCCTTCTCGTAGCCCTGCAGCCTGATCTGCAGCTCCGTCAGCTTATTGAAGAGCCGCAGCTCTGTCTTAGAGGCCTTTAGTTTTCTGGCCAAGGGCACAGCACCTCCCTGAGGAGAGAAGACAGTGAGTCCCGGCTGTTCTTGGAGGTATCGGTTCAGCACTGCCCGCAGAGGGGTGATAGAGCAGCAGGACATGGAACAAGTGCTTGACATAGCAGGCAGATGATGGAGGGGTTGAGTTTCAGGTCCTAGCTCCCTCTTTCCCTTGAAAATAGGTTTCATATCCCAGAGCGTGGCTCTCAAAACCTGAGCCTCACATCTCTGCCCTTTCTTAGATGCCTGATATTCTGACTCTGAGCACATCCCCAGGAGCAACCAGCTCACACCTAACACTGCCAGGATTTATAATGTAAGGATCCTGCTCCCACCTCCCAGATGATCTCTTGGGTGAGCTAAAGCCATTGCAAAGTATGCCTGCGCTCCAGGCTTTCCCCCTGCAGCAGTTTGCACTCTGGCACACTCAGAACCATCCTGGCCCTCTCCATCCCTCCAGCCTGTCCGCACAGTGCTGCAGCCAGCCCAGAGGCAAAGCTCCCCACAGCCATCACCTTGCAGGGACACAAGGACAGAAATGCTTGGGGGGGATCAGTACCCTGTAAAACTCCACTGCTCTCTCTCTGTTTCGGCTGCCATTAAAAAAGGTATCACCTGCTTTTTCATAAAGATCCATGGCCAAGGAGATGTTCTCCACTTTCAGAGCAGTCTGAATGGCTGCCTAGAAGGAAAATGAACTGGAGTGAGACTTGGAAAGAGATACCTGCACATAGAAATCTGTGTGATTAAATAAAACCAATCCATCATAAACATGAGCCCCAGTGCTCTAAACAGCATGGAGACAGGTAGGCCAGCAGGCACATATGGGTAGCTGGGTAACAGAGCGAGGACCCAAAGCATCTTCTATGTGTGTCCAGGCTGGTGCTTTGCTCAATACCCTATCACAGTTCATCCTCAGCAGACTCAACCAGTTTTCTGCTGTGCTGACTCTGGGCACTTGAAAGGGTTTCCCATCTTCAAATAGAAGCTGCTCCCTGAACGGAGCCCTAAGATTTTATGACCTGCTATTCCATTTTGCAGCTCAGCTGATAAAGTAGAGCTAGAGATGGAAAGAAGAAAGTAGTCTTCTACAAGAAGTCTCCAAGCACTTTCCTAGCATCTTACCCCTTATCTATGTGTGTTTCAATGGGAGCCGGTCACCTGGCACCTCCAGCTTCCTTTGGAACTCCTACATCACTTTCTTACTCAATAAACTCACAGACTCTCATCCAAAAATCCTCTAAACCCAGTGTATGAAGGCAAGATAGGAAATTTAGTGCCAGATAGCGCATGAGTGTAAGGAAACAGCTCCTCCTTCTAGCAGCAGGTTTACACTGCTCATAAGAACTTTCTCTTCCTGGTCTTCCACCTGCAAAAGGCTCCTACTGAGCTATGATGGGAATGCAGCTAGACAGGATGGGTATAGGACTGCTTCAGCCACCTCCTCCATACCTGAAAGTACATTTCCACCAGCTCATCTTCCTGCATAAGATAGTAGAGCCTTCCTGCCTGCAGCCAGGCCTCTGCTGCTTTCACAGTCTCCTCAAGGTCAATGAAGATCCTTAGACTCTGTTTGGTGCAGTCCAGGGACTGTCTCAGAGCCCTGGGATGGAAACAGGGAAAAATTCATTATAGGGAAACCAGAGGACACCTCCAGCAATGAGCTGCAAAGCTACACCACCTCTAAATTGGCAATCCTGCCTTCTCCTGCAGCTGCCAAAGGTTAGAGACAAACAGACAGGTCTGAGCAAGGTAAAACTGTGCCAGTCTCCATGCTTTAGTGCATGTGTGCATTATCACCTGGCAACCTCAGACCAGCCCAGGATCCCAGTGCTCAGCACAGCCCCAAGGTAGCTCCCAAAGGCACTGCTCCCCACCTCTGCTTGTTTAATCTGATATAGAGGGTTTTGCCCACGTCATCTGCAAACCCTATTTGTCCCCTGCGCTAAGCCTCAAAGTCACTCCCAGCTGTAAGACAGGGAGCGCTTGCACCTAAGTTTTCCATACATTATCTGGCACCCAAACCCACATCCCTGCCTAGTGTCTGTCCCTCGGTGCAGCCGACGAGGAACATCTGTGGCTACATGTGCCAGACCTCAGAGCCCCTTTCCAAGCCCTTGTCACAAGGGGACAAGCAGCAGGACAGGCCAGCAGGTTGGACACACTGCCTGCAGAAGGCAGCTGTGGCCAAGGGAGCACTGGGCACTACCCAGGACATGTTTGTTTGCCTGGTGTCTTGCCTGTTGGCAACTGGGCTCCAGCTGTCCTTGGAGCTCAGGGAATGGGGAGCTTTGTGATCTTAAATAGCATCATTCACATGACAGGTGTCTGCTTCCTAAATACCTTCCCTCTGAACTCACTGTGACCTAGCAAGGCAAGGTTAACATCCAAGTTAATGACAGCCCCTGCTCATTTGTCCTTCTGGAACATGGGAGCTAGCTCCGCTACTTGACACATTTGCCTTCAAAGACTGAAGAAAGTCTGTGGTCTGTCCAAGCCTCCTTCTCTCCCCTCCCACCTAATCTAATCAGTCACCTGCATGTGTCAAGCAGGAGATTGAAAGGTGAATTGATATGGAGTCTTAAATACCTCCCTGGGGAAAATATTTCAGCAGAGATAGGAAAGACAGACTCAGCAGCTGGAGGCTGAAGCCAGACTTACTCAAATAACAGATAAGGAACCTATTTTTACTGGTGAATGGTGGTTAATCACTGGAAAAAGCCTCCAAAGGAAGTGATGAATTCCCTGTTGCTGGGTCCCCTCTGATCAAGGCTGGATGTCTCTCTGGAAAACTGTGTTTGGCCAGAACCCAGTTCTGTCACACCTAACAGCCACTGCTCCTGCTTTGGGTGAGCACGGACCCCACTCTAGCATCATCTAGCAGCCACAGACAGGACTTACTCAGGTGTGCCCAAAGCCTGATAAAGCTGGCTGAGGGTCTGCCGGACATTGCCTTCCAGCTCCCTGTCCTGCAACTGCTGTGCCAAAGATACCCAGTGCTCATGGTAGGTGATGCAGGCCTGGAGACTGGGGGACACTTTGCTGTAGAAATGGCAGAGAGACTCAGTGATGTGAAGCTGACCTGCATGGTACAGGGAAGGGAAAAGGACAGGTCAGGGGACTGTGTTAGGGTGCTGCACACAGAGCTGAATGCTGCCTTGGCTCCCGCCAGCATGGCTGTACTCACTCCTCACGTTATGCCACTTCAGGGCAAAAACCAACGCCAGTTCATAACAGAGTTTGCCATCCTCCATCCTCTGCCTGTTCACCATGGCCAGTGCTAGCCACAGCAGCACACGCACAAACTCCATCTCCAGGTCTTCGCTGCCCTGGAGCTCAGCGTAGAGCTGAGCCGACTGGAGCAGGTAGAGCTCAGAGAGCTGGTTCGCCCCATGCGAAAGGCTCAGCTGCCCGAGGTTGGCCAGGGCGATAGCCTGGTTCCTCTTGTTCCCGGTCTCCTTGGCTTTCTGCAGGGCCCGCAGGTAGTTCTCTGCAGCCTTTTGTACCTGCCCTTCTCCTTTGAGGGCAATGGCCAGCAGATTGTGCACCGCTCCACCCTGAGTCACGCTGTCTGTCCCATGCAGAGAGTGCAAGAGCTGCCACATGATGTCTGCGGCGGGTCCCGGCTGGCTGTGCAGGAGATACATCCACCCCAATGACAGGGAAGACTCAAAAGCCTCCTCCTCTCCCATCAGTCTACTGAGGGTTACAGCCATGGCTGCGTAGCAAACCGCCCCATCCAGCACACCATGCTGGAGGTACATCCTGGACAAGATGGTACACAGTGTCCTCTGGATGGGCACTGCTCTGCTCTCACCAGAGAAATGCAGTGCTTGCTTGAGATAGAAACAGGCCAGTGCTGGGATGCTGCTCCTCTCCAGCTGGCTTCCCAGGAGTTTGGAAGTATTTTGGAGGATAAAGCCAGCTCTCCAAGTGGGTGTCGGTGTCCCCTTGATGCCAGTGGGAACAAACAGCCTGGCGGAGGCCAGTGCGATATTTGGCAAATACTTCTTGTCATACAGGTAGCTCAAGATGGGGGTGGCATCCAGTGGCATAGAACTAGTGTCCGGGCTCACTAAAGTGGTGGTGAGACACTGAAGATGCTCGGTAAAGGGCAGCACTTCATCATTTTTGCCCAGTTGTAGGAAGAGCTTGACAATAAGGAAGCAGACCCTTGCCTCCAAGGGAGCATTACCCACAGCAATGGCTTCCCTCAGGACATACATCATAACCTCCAGCTCGTTCTCAGAGCTGAAAGAGTGGCCAGGCAGGCAGACAAGCAAGGCCACCATTTTTCCCAGCAGGGAGGAGAACTTGTGCTTCATATTCTGCTTCAAGTAGATGGAGGCAAGGTTCACATGCAATGCAGCCAATAGGGGCAGGTCCCCAAAACCCCTGTCCAGGACGCTCATGGCTTCCTCAAAGTAGACTCGAGCCTGGGAGAACTTGACCTTTTTGATGCAAAGCTTACCCAAGAGGAAACAGAGCCTGACATGAGCCCAAACTGAATGAGTTCTCTTGGCCCAGTTCCTGGATGCCTCAAGGTACAAGATCAGTTCATCCTCATCAGAGAAACCATAAAAAGTGGAGTTGAGAAAGGAAAAACTGAGATCATAGAGGCTTTGAAAACTGGGCACGTAACTGTCTTGGTTAAGGAAGGTCAATATGGGGTCAAAGACATCAGCGTCTTCCATGTGTCCAGCATTCAAGTCAATGAAGAACTTGGGATCATCAAAGTCATCCAGCTTCTCCAGGAGAACATCTTCTAGTGTATGAGGGGCTGATTCACTCCCTGGGCTAGACAGCTCAGAGGTGCTATTGGTAGCCAACTCATTTATTTCCTCCCAGGACTGGAGCAGCTGGATATCTTTACAGCCACGGAGAACAGCCTCTGGAAGGGACAGACATCATAGTGAGATGTTTCCCCATGTCAAAATTCACCCTCAGAATCATCAGAAAAGCATTCCACGTACTCACCTGACGGCACTTTCGGGAACATGGCTGTAGGTTCAAAACCATCTACACAAAGAGACAAACAGGAAACAAAGAGCAAGGAGCTTTCTAGGCACTGCCCAGCACTGCTCCCCATGGGCAGCCATATGGCTGGATATTTAAGGAGAGGGGAGACTCACCCAGCCGGTACACAGAGGTGATGTCCGTGCGTGCCAGGTCACTGAGGAGGGTGGTGAAGTGCTGCTCACCACCATTGCAGGGGATGCGCAGGAGCGGGGACTTTTCTTCCTCGCTCAGAAACACCAAGCCTTTTCCCCTAGGTTGAGGCAGACATCATGAGAAAACAGTCAGTGCCTGCCCATCCCCTGACACTACAGCTCCCCCGTAGGCTGGGCTGGGCTTTCCCACTCCTCCTCTTCCTCCCACCAGAAAAGCTCTGCTGCAGATGAATACAGTCTGGACACCTTCCTCATCAAGGCTCCCAGATCCATGTTCTTATGGAGGAACCTATGGGTATTAGAGGGAGTAACATATTGGTCTTTTTCCTCTCCAGAAGCCCTTTCTAGATCAGAGCATCATCTGAGCTCTCTGTTCTCTGTAGAATGAGAGAAAAGTGCCAAAGACTTACCCTGAGTGAGCATGACCCAGGAAACCCAGCAGACCTGGCAACAGGTTAGGACCTCTTCCTCCCACATACACTCTTGGAGGAGAAGCCTTTTTGGATGGGTACTGAACCTAACCTATGTCTTTAAGCCACCAATAAAGACAAATGCCCAGCTCATCAGCATGGGGTTGTGTCACCCTCCCTCCCTGGACAACTTCTGTCTGTGCCCTGGGAGGGTGTTTAATTCTGCTCAGTGAGGAACTGTGCCAGCGGTTGTTTGCTCCACCTCCCACAGAAAGCAAAGGGGCAGAAGGAAGCAAAGCAGGACTTGTTTTTTTGGCAGTGATCGCTCCCCCCCACCCTTGTCACACTCAGAGCTCCTCAGACAAAGCCACGAAGTCAAGAACATTTCTAGGTGGAACTGTGAAGCCAGTTTGTCTGGTACACAGATGTCCTGGGCTTCCTTAGCATGAAGCCAGGCTTAGCCCAGGGCCAGATCTGTTCCTCTCCAAGAATCACCTGAGACAAGTGAAATATGGTTGCTTTGTCTGAGCAGAGCCTCCTGCAGCCTGTTGGCAGCAGAGCCTTGCCGAGGCTTCCGGACAGACCTCAAATGAATCCTCTGTGAAGGTCTTGCAAAGCAAATCACCTGCCCTGGACTCTTGCATAGCCTTGAGTTGGGACTTGAAGTCTTCCCTTCATTTTCTCCTGAGTTTAATTTAATTGACATGGTAGCAGTAAACTTACAGAGGTTCACAAGCCTTGGGACTTATGTATTGAGTTGGGACAAATCCAATGCTCCCACTGCTGAGGGATTTGCCCACAAACCACGGGAGTCCTGGAATGAAGAAGCCAATGACTTCTATGCTGTCTCCTTTGGAGAAACTCAGTTCATCCCATGCTGCTCCTCTGTGGTCCTTTGTGGCTGTGCACCTGCCTTTGACTGGGAAACCAAGGCAAAAAAGGGCATTTCAGTGTAAGGCCACTGTCAAAACCTCCTTGCTGGAGAAGGCTTGGGCAAGGAGACACTGATTGCAGCTTGAGAAGGCTACCTCCCTGTCCCCTAAGATTAATTGTGCTCTCAGGGTCACATCCCTTCTTGAGAAGAGGATTTTAATAAAATACACAAAAGCCACGGACAAAAGCCACATAGCCAAATACTGAAACCTCTGAGAGCTGCAGTATGGAAGGTGTCTGGAAACAAGAAGCTTCATAGAAGCTGAACTGTCTCAGCTCTCTGCCAGGAGTGAAATCTTTGACAGTACAAATGTCCATCACACTACATGCCAAATTCACACCTGCAGTGACTTCTCAAGTCCAACATGCACTGAACAATGCCCATGTGTGGGCAGGAATGGCCTGGAGAATGATGGGCACAGATTTCATATGCACATTGGTGGGAGACTAATTACATAAAACTTCAGTTCTGAAAGAATTAGCGGCAAAATTGCAGTAGAACAGAAAACCCATTGGCAGGAGGATACTACAAGCAGCCCTCTGTACTGCTCAGATCTTCCTTCTAAGTACATGCAATTTGCAAGCTCTGGTCTCCATTCAAGAGAGGCCAAAGATGCTGTTTTCCCTTAAAGCATCTTGCAATGGAGTGTCATCAGATCAGGAGATGGGTCCTTTGCATTTGTGGCCAAACCCAGGTTTGCAAGAGCTGTACCCTTCCCTGGGAAGGGCAGCTGTGTTACACAGGTGTCACTCACCAATTGGCTCAGTGCTTGTCCCACTGATCTCCTGGGAGATGCCAAAACTCACAGCATAGTTCCTCAGGAACCACCTGCAAAGCAAAAGGGAACCACACTGGTTCTCTCCGAGCAGCCCTGCCCTCAGGCCACCACCAGAGATGGTTTCATGCAAGCAGGACAGACGTTCTGTCCCCTGGGAGTGCCAGAGCTGCTATGGAGCATGGCCAGTCTAGTAATTCCTTGTAATGGTGTTACTGGGCATGGGAGGCTGTTTGCATCTCACAACTGCAGCCTTACACCCCATGGTAAGAGCAGGATAAGAGCAGCTGAGGGTGTCTTTGAGGCTCATCCATGTGTCCAACATGAAGCCACACTTTGACTGGATAAGTCTTGGGTTATGCTTTTTCTCCCAGTTATGTACACATAAATCTAAATAATCTTATGCATGACCTAAATCAATATCATACAACAATGGTATCAAGTATGAACTTGCACTGTCCCTTTAACAGGACCTGAATTGGTTCCAGTGGTTGTCTTTATGCACAATGTATATCCTCACAGAACTGTGCAGCTCTTGACCACTGCTGGAGGCAAGAGCAACTTCTCATTCCAGGCTTGGTGCCAGCTTATGCATCAGGATCAGGAAAGAATCTTGGCTTGAGCTCTGTTAATTGTCCAGTCTACTTACTGGTAAAATGGGTGAGGTATTGGCTCTAGAGCTGTCACAGGCACCAGGCCTCGCTGACCCGTCAGTAAGGACGTCCCTTCCCACTTGGACTCCTCTCCAACATTCTTCACGTGGATCAGCTCATTCTTGCAGAGCTGCAGGGCTTCCTCTCCCTCCTGCTCCGGCTGCTCCGGAGCACCAGGAACTGCTCTGGAAAAAAAGTTACCTGCAGATAGAAAGAGTCGTGCCCAGGTCAACAGCATGAGTGCAAGACAGCCCAGCACAGGGCTACAACACAGCCCGGAGGAGATGCTTTTGAGGAAGTCCCTACATATGCAGTCCCTCTCACCTTCCTGCAGTAGCAGACCCATATATATGGTGGCCAAGCGATCTTCATCCACAGTAACTCTGATCTCCGTGTCCTCCATCAGAGCACAGTTTAGCCAGTACTCCTGGTCAAAGAGAAGCTGTTCCAGGCAGCTGCCCACATACCCTATGAAACCAAGAGGGAAAGTAGTGTTAGCATTCTCCTCCATGGGGCAGGATGAAGTGCTCTTTGGATGTCTCCCAGCCTGCCAGCTGCAACCATGCTGTGAGGCAACAGCCTCTAATTCTGTCTCCATCCCCAAGATGCCATAGAGGGATTACCCAGAAGGCATCCTCCTGGGTCTTGTTCACTGATGCAGACAGTGGTTTCATAAATCTGTAGATGGACACCAAGGCTTTCTAATTAATATTCTTCATCTGTCCACCCTGTTACATTACTGTTTTTGTGACAGACTATCTTCTCTAAAACTTCTCACACTGTCTGTTTAGATCTCCCACACCTTGGAAACACTACCTAAAGTCAGATACGTGGAAAACTTCCAGACTTCTTCCAGGGTTTTGAAGGTGAGGATGAACCGATCCTCCTGTGCCTGCATGCAGACCAGCCGGGCTGACAGCTCCTGAAGATGGAAGACAAACGAAGATTAAGGGACAGTCCTGGGACTCTGTCAGGGGGTCTCCTTTCTCAGTGTGGAAATAATAATACTCCCTGGAATGAGACTAAGCACTCATTTATTACCGTAGTTGAGACCAAAGCTATGTGATTTAGTTGCCTGGGGTTAAGGGGATGGTGCTGCAGTCAGCAGCTCCAGGCAGCTCAGAGCCTCCAATATGAGGCTCCTGACATGAGGCTCAGCTTTGCATCTGCCTCTCACCTGTTATGAGTTCATTTCCCCCATCATTCCACTCCCTTACAGAGTCCCCATGTGCAGAACATACCCTGCAGCAGCCTTGGAGGAACTTTCTCTCTCGGCTGGGTTTGGTATCCCATCATCACGCATCCCATCACACCAGGACCCTCCCAGTATACACTCTGCCCTGCCAGGCTGGGACGCTTACCTTGAACAGGGCACAGACATCTCTGTCGTCACTCTCTAGGGCCCACAGCTTCTTTCTGGCTGCTTCCTGGAGCTGGGAATTGAGGCATCGGGAGGAGCGGCTCTCAACGGAGAAGAAGAGTGAAATCTCTTGAAAAGGAAATGTGCAGGGATAAGGGGGAGGAGGAGCTCCGTGCACACAGAGCTGCCTCCCTGCAGCCAGCCCCAGCAGTGCCTCCAGCCTGGTTGTGATGCTCAAACAACACAAACCCGACCCCTCAACCCCCTTCAGCAGCAAAGCTGAGGAACGCAAGGGATGGCAGGGGGTCAGTTAACTGCAGTGCCAGGCCTTGCTGCATTCAACCACAGAAATACGGGCGATGCCAAATGCAGCATCTTACCTTGTGGAAAGCCCTCCCTGACAGCCAGCAGCACCAAGGGGGTGTCTGGAGAACCTTCTGCTGCCTCAGTAGTGGGGTTGCTTGGATCTGATGCCTCAGTCTTACCTAGCAAGGGGGGCACACACAGAAGAGCTGCTGTTGAATTTTGTGGCAGAGGTCTAGGAAATTCTGCTGTCATGGTTGAAGCCCAGCTGGTAACTCTGAACCCAGGACATCTGCCTAACCACACCACCTGAAAGCAAAGCCCGTGGGTTGCAGTGCAGATCTGGCTGGGGGTTGTCTGGGTCTCGTATCACCCTAAACTCACGCTCAAGGTTGGAGTCAAGATCCATGGGACTGGTGTCTCCTAACTACATGATACACTTGAGACTGACTTACTTCCAGTGCTGGAGTAGCTTTGAAGTGAGGGGACCTTCCTTACTTGCTCTTGGGACAGACCCTCACTGAACAGATCTGGCAGAATGGGTCACCCCTGACACAGAGTTTTTTGGAGGAGGCCTCAGAGCAAGGGAACTTCCCCAGTGCAGGAGAGTTTGCTCATCAATTTGACAGTCAAAATGAGATTTTGCTCCCTGCCTACTCTGGTCAATGTCTGAAACCCAAGCTGCATTCTCTGTGCTTCACACACTGTCAGCTATTGCCATAAAGGATTCAGGAACTGAAAGCTCAGCTGGTTAATTGTGCTAATGAAGGCTGAGGCATGTAAAAATCCAGCTTGCTCTTCCACAGCTGTATTGGCTGTGGAGGGGTAACAAGATTAAAAACCAATTTCTGTCAGTAATCAGATTGGACTTGTAAGACAAACACATACCTGGAGATCTGGAGCTGGAACATGCAGCGGTATTCGTAAGTCACTTCTGTGACCATAACTATACTCTACAATTGTTTTTAATGAGCCAGCTTTGCAAATCAGTCAAATAAACTGTTATTTGCACACAATTATAATCCTTGTTTATAGTTAGCAGTAGAAAAGAATGGCCCAAGGCTGGACCTGTAATGAATGAGCTTTTCTTTGAAAGAAAAGGCTCTACATTTCTCAACAGCTGATCTGAACACACTTAACAAAGGACTTCATCCAGCAACTCACATCCCTTCTACACATAGGGGAAACAGAGATGTGGAAGCAAAATGAGCCGGAGGCAGAGCTAAATGTGAGCTGGCTCCTAGAGCTGGGCTGGATGGGGCTGCTCTATCCCTCTCTCACCTCCCTGCCTCCCGGCAGACCCTGGTGGGCAGGAGCTGGGTCCCCCTTCCCCAAGGACAGGTACCTGATGCCATGGTCTTGTCCCGCCACCATTTTCCCTTGTGCTGCAGGTGGTCCCAGTGGGGCAGGAGCACGGGCGAGTGGGGACAGCAGGAATCACACTCTTCCTCTGGGAAAGACAGGAGGTGGGGAGAAGCATTCGGATCCCTGGCAGGATGCTCCCTGCCCAAGAGGTCTCCACAGGTTGTGTCAAAGGAGGAGGCAGGACGGACACTGCTGCCTGTGGCATGACAAAGCATGCTGGTGGGTCTCCACAGAGCCAGGCAGGGACCAGGGCTCGCTTGGGTGAGAGGAGGAATGGGTTTCCTCCAGCGGCACGCACCGATTTGGTGTTTATTTCTGTTTGGGCCAGGCTCAGAAAGGGAACTGGGAGCTGTTTCAAGAGACCAACTGCAGCTGCTGGCGAGAAGTTGTCCCCAGTCGTGCCAGTGACTCATTTACCTCCCTGGTGCTGAAATGTTTTGTAACGGGGGGCAGGAAACAGCCCCAGCCCAGAGCCAGGGCCAGGTCCCAGCACTCAGAGCTGTGGTGCTTGTGGCACCCACTGGCACCGGCTCTCCTGGGGACACATGGCTACAGCCGCTGGCCCTGAGCCACCTCCCTCCTGCAGCCCATTAGCACAGTCCTGTTAGATCATTTGGGCATTCAGCATGGGAATTACTCCTCTGGGGCTGGCAGCACCCCACGGGCTCTGCAAGCTTTGCGGTGTTGGGTGCTCCTGGGCAGCAGTGGCAGCAGGACACGGGCGGCAAGGGGGCTTCTGAAAAGCCAACACCATGGGAATAAACCACCCCCCTCCCTTAGTCATCCTCTCCTGCCCCTGGCCAAAGTGCCCTGCCTCGTTCCCCACACCCCCAAATCTAGTGACACAAGTGCCCAGAAAGAGGAGGGGACACCAGTGGCCACCTCGGGAAAGGCAGGCAAGCAGCCAAAGGGAGCCAGTGCTCAGCTCCCCAGTGGCCCCATCAGTGGTGTGAGCTTTGCAGCCACAGGTCCCGCAGTCCTGCCATGGCATCCTCAGGGACAGCTTACCTGTGCATCCCAGGGACAGGTCCTGGTGCCAGGGGATCTCAAGGCAGCAGCCCATGTGTCCAGCAACACCCGAGCCCCAAGCTGGGGGCTGGCGGAGCACTGGCAGGGGGGGAGTGCACTGCTGGGCACCGTGGCTCAGCTCCGGCCACAGACACAATGCACAATGCGCCTTTTGAGCGGCACCGTCTGTCCGCGAGGCGGGGGCGATGGGCACAGAGCGCAGAATGGCTTGGGTTAGAACCACAGCATCATAGCATCATTTAGGTTGGAAAAGCCCCTTAAGACCGAGTCCAACCATTAACCCAGCACTGCCAATACGCTAACCGCTAAACCATGTCCATGTCCCTCAGTGCCACATGCACACATCTTTTAAATGCCTTCAGGGATGATGACTCCACCATTTCCACTTAAAGACTTTGTTCCAAGCCCCCTGCCACGGGCAGGGACACTTTCCACCAGACCAGGTTGCTTCAAGCTCCTGTGTCCAACCTGTCCTTGAACACTGCCAGGGATGGGGCAGCCACAGCTTCTCTGGGCACCCTGTGCCAAGGCCTCACCACCCTCACAGGGAAAAATTTCCTCCTTAAATCAGATTTAAATCTCCCCTCTTTCAGTTTAAGACCATTTCCCCTTGTCCTGTCACTATAGGCCCTAGTAAAAAGCCTCTCTCCACCCTTCTTATAAGCCCCTTTAGGTATTGAAAGGTTGCAGTAAGGTGTCCCTGGATCATTCTCTTCTCAGCTTTTCTTCCTAGGAGAGGGGTTCCAGCCCTCCAATCATTTTCATGGCCCTCTTCTGGATCCCCTCTGACAGGTCCATGCCTTTCTTGTGCTGGGGGCTGGAGCCAGATGCTGTACTCTGGGAGGGGGTCTCATCCCACTGACTGGTGTTGCTACCCTGTGCTGGCCCCACCATTGCCATTACCCTGGGCTCCTGGGAGCGTGTCACCCAGCCCACGTGGCACATTCCTGTCATTCCTCCTGACAGCCAAGGCATGGGAAGCCCAATGGTCTGCCCCAGCTTCCTGCTGGGCTCTCTGGAGAGCGTCAGCACTGATCTCCCCCACCTCCTAAGGCAACCGTGTTCCTGATCACACTGCAAGCACCCGCCTTACCTGCAGAGCTGCCCCGCTGGGGCTTGTCCAGCATCCTCCATCCAGGGCTGGCCGTTTCTGGACCACCTTCCTCCCGGCCGAGCTGCTGCTCTCCCTGTTTCACAGCGAGGGTGGCTGGCAGCACTGCCTGCTCCACACCAACCTCAGCAGAGCAGGGCTATGGCCAGGCAAGCCACAGGTGAGTTCTCTGCAAGCACAGACACTGTGGATTCCTGCAGGGCTAGCGGGGCTCATCTCATCTCTGGGATCAGAACTGTCTGAACCCCAGGTGTGAACACCAGGAGGGACTGATCTGGTTGCTGTTTGGAATCCTTTGGGCTGCACAGGATGAACTCATTCCCTCTTCGCTCACATGCTCTGACCTTCCCCAGCATGCAGGACCAGGACTCAGGACCGGCTGTGTGCTCTCACTGTGCTATGGGTGACCGGTGTCTGCAGAGGATCCTTGGGCAGAGCAACACAGCCCCTGCAAAATAAAAACCAAAAGGTCTAGGGACAGAAGTCACAGACAGGGAGGTCTTCAGCAACCAACAACCAGCCAATGCCGGTGCCACCACAGCAGTGACTTGCTTGCTGTGGAGTGCTCCAGGAGCATTGCTGGCTCCTCTCAGCCATGCGTTCAAATGCACGACAAGGCCTTGAGCTTCTCCAGAGTAGCGAGTAATTACCCCAGTGAGCAGTTTTTCACCAGACAGATTCCTGTGCCATGACGGGGGCTGCCTGCCACCACTGCAACATCCCTAAAGCAAAGCACAAGGAGTAGCTAGCTGTGGTACGGGCGGTGGCAGGATGGAGTCTGTGCTCATGGAGCTGACTGGGAAGTCTCTAATAAAAGCCTGCCTGTCCATGAGCAGCCTGAAAGCATGGGGGTTTCTCGTCATCGCCAGGAAAAAACATGTCAAAATGTTGGCGTTGGCTGGAGAAGGGAGCATCCCCCTCATCCTCCTCACTGCAGCTCACCTGACATCAGGGTACAAAGCCCTGTGGCTCTGTCCTGGTGTGCTAGTCAAGCTGATGTGTCCTGTGCAAAGCTGTGCCTCCACAGGGAGCTGCAGAAAGGTGAGTGCTGGGAGAGGCCAGCACTGTCCTCCCTGTGGCAAGGACCCTGTCTGTTCCTGTTGCACGTTGGCCCTGGAATGCTCCGAATTTAGAAAACTCCCGCAGTCGACCTAGGGATGCTCTGAAGGTGCAGGAACAGGAGAGTTCTGTGATGGAATCTGGCACATCTTTACATGAAAGATGTTGCTGTTTTGGGCCTGTGTTGTCAGTGGGGTTGGTGTTTTCAGACAAAGCTTTTTGCTTCACTCAGAATGCTGTTGGTTTTAGCGATAGCTCACCAATTAGCATCAAATTCTTCTACCCAGTGGACAATACTATTTCTTTTAGATGAAGTGAATGTTGTTTCATTTCCTAAACAAGGATGGCTTTCATTGTGGTTTTGAATCTCTTTTTGCTTTTAGGTTTACCTATGTAACCCAGTGACCAAACCCACCCCCCTACAAGCAAAGGTATCAGGCTTGTTTGATCTGAAATGGAATTTTCCTTTTGGCCAGCAACTCAAAAACTTCCCGTTCCACTCCCTACCCCTCTGTTTACCCCCCATGGATCTCCTCTGCTGAAGCCCTCATCCTGGCTTCCCTAGGAAAGCCTGGTCCTAGTAAGTAGAGAAGCAATTTCTCAGGGGTCCCTGCCTGTGCCAACTTTCCAGGGTCTTTGCTCCCTTTGTGAACATGGTGCAGCCATACCAGCCCCTTCTGCAGGCAGAGCACCAGAGCCTCCCTCTTCCCTCCCCAGGGCACAAAAAAGGAGGCAGGGTGACTGTCAGGGCACCATTGTCTGTGCAACAGAGCTGTAGGCACTGTTGGTCTCCAGGGCTGTCACACAGCAGCACATTTCCTGGTCCCAAATCCACTTTGCTAAATTCAGTGTCTGCTGTGATTTCTCCTGCCCTTCTCTGGTCAGTTCCTGGATACAAAGGACCCAAACCAAACCTACCCTTCCTCAGTGTGCCCATCACCACCTGAGCCTCAAATTCAGCCGGGACCAAAACCGCAGACTTTCTCCCCCAACCTGTATTCAAGCAGCCATGTCCCTGCTCTGCACTGCTCCAGCCACCTCCAGCCCCTGCGCCCCGGCTGTGCCTGCTCAGCTGGGGACGAAGGGCGCAGGCATGAGACCGGCACCCAGCCCAGCGGCTGCAAGGGCAGAGCGGTGCGAGGCTGTACTGACCTGCTCCTCCGCTCTGCTCCCCAGCACCGCTTTCCTCCAGAGCACTCTTGGCCACGAAGCTCCAGCCTCTGAGAGCCGGGTCCCCGGGGGACCGCTGCCGGTGCCGGGACGCGGCGCGGGGCTGTGTACGTGTTCGCAAGGCGGGCGAGCGTGCCCAGCGCCGCCACTCCCTTGTGAGGAAAGGAATTTCTTCCAAGAGTGCCTTATCATGTTGGGAACCTCCGCTTCCCAGCAGAGGTCAATGAGTTACCCAGAGGTATGCTATAAACAGGCTGCCAGCTCCCGGGGGGAAGCACGAACGCGCTGGAGACACCTTCATCCCGGCCCCGCAGCAAGCAAGGGCTGGAGAGGGTGACCATGGTTAGGGCTCTGCTCAGCCTGAGTGTGACCACACTGACCACGGCTCCCTGCCGTTGCAAGCGCTGCTGTGCGTGAGCAGCTTCTCCCATACTGACCTGTCGCCTGCTCCCAGCTCCAGCGCTGCATCCTTGGGGATTGGGACCTTTGATCCTTGCTGTGCACTGGCTGCCTCTGATACAGCAAACCCCAGGGAGAGGCTTTACCTGCACCCCGGTGAGGTGGCAGAGGCGCTCAGCTCTGAAACCCCCTTCTCTGGCAAAATGCGAATACACGCACACAGAACAAGAGATCTGTGGACCCAGCAGTATTTATGCACCCGCCTCAACTCAACAAACAGGGCTAGCAGAGAGAAAAACATGGGTTATCTTGTTTTCCTTTTGAAAACAATGAGTTAATATCAAGCTTTTCTAATACCCATGTTTCCTTCTGGAAGCCCTCAGCAGTTCACCATTCCTTGGCAGGTTCAAAACCAAGCTCCTTGCTTCTCACTTTGTTATTTAAAAATGAACGTGAAAAAGGAAGTCAGCCTAAACCTGCCCTCGGTCAAGGAAAGAAAGCAAACAAACAAGACGAAATGTTTATTTTCCAGGTCAAACAAACTCCTGGTTCATGGGTTTGATTCTCCAAGGTGGGTGGGGGCATGTTTTGGTGTTGGGTGGAGCAGTGCTTTCCTTCCCTCCTCCTCTTTGCCCACCCAGCCCAGGCACTCACTGCAGCCGGGGGCACTGCCCGAAGCAAGCAGGGCCAGCAGGGGCATTTCCTCATTCTTGCACTCTCTGCTTTTGCTTTCACCCTCTGCAAATGGGTCTTAAGCACCTGCCTGTGCCATGCCCCTGAAATCCCGGGCCCTTCAGGCTGCCTGCTTGGGTGGGGGGACAGGAGAACGGCAGAGAAGGACCTGCCCCCATGTACCTTCACTCTACCCTCGCATGCCCCAGACGGGGTGGCATCAAGATAGCATCTTTCCTGGTGTGCCGGCAGCTCGGGAAGCAGGGTGTCAGGACACGGGAAGTGCAATGGTTTTGCAGCAAAACCAGCATGGCAAGTCACTGAACTGCAGGCAGACAGGCCTGGCTTTGAGACACATCTTTTCATCGATGGCACTCACTCAAGATTTCCCTTCCACTGTCAAGACCCTTCTTACCTTTCTCCATTCTGTGCAGCACACAGCAATCCATAGCTGCTGCCTGCATCAGGATATTTGCTCCATCCCGCAACTACAGGGTTAAGCAGGCTCTGGGGCTGAACTAAGCTGAACTCAGTGCTTTTCAGTAATGCTGAGGCCTGCGCCTCTTGCATTGTTTTCAGCCAGGGGCAGAGGAAGTAAGTGCTGCTGGAACATGGACCCTGTGTGTCAGCAATGCCCGGGTGGGTCCAGAGGCTGGGACCACCCTTTGGCACACAGAGCACTGGGAAGCCATGCAGCGAGCAGCCCAGGGTGCTGATTCAAGGTGTCCTCCCTGGCACTGGGGTGTGAACCCAAAGCATCCTACTTGCCCCCCCGAACATGACCAGTGCTTCAAAGGAAGAGTGCGGCGTCACCACCCAGGGGAGCCTCCAGACTGCCTGGAGACACAGCCAGGGAAGTGCCGGCCACAGATAAGGCATGGGAAGGAAGAAGGAAGGACCAGAGCAAGCCAGCTGAGCTCCAGGATCTGAAGATCGCTGCAGCCCCTGCCTGGCACTGTGTTGCTGGAAGCATCCTTTAGTTCAGCCCTGTGCAAACACCTTGGGATTTTTCCAGTTCACCTTGCAGG